ACAGTTTTTTTTTTGGGGTTTTTTTTTTTTTTTTTTTACAGAATTATGTAAAAAGTGACAACTCCAATTAGTACATGTACAGGACTCAGTTTTAATGAATATTTGCATGTTTAATTCCTTTAGCAATGCTTTTAACAAACAACTGAATAAAGTAATATAGACAAACTAGATACAATTCTTAAAAGAGGAATAAAAGTCACAGAAATAAGAGGTTAAAGCTAGACTACAGAAAACTCAACAAAGAGAAAAGAATAGAATACAGTCCTTCCTTCTAGTGGCTACAAGAGAAACAACTTTATGGCTGCTCTTCTAAAGCAAAAAGAAACAGCAACAACCTCTACCTATGCAACAAAACCACTCACTGGAGATAACAACCATGAGGAAAGGAGGGGGATCATATTTGCTTCAAACTTGACATACACAGAAAAGGCAAGGGAAAAAGTACAAAACTTTTCCCTTGTACCTAAGAAAGAGAAATCACTTTTCCCTGGAATGGTAAAGGGTTATCTTCAGCCATTTCTACACTGCCTCTGAGCAGACTATCTGGGACTGCTGCCAAAAATGATACTGTCTACTCACCTTTCAGTGCACACTAGAGCTCAGAAGTTTGCCAGAGTAACTGATGCAGAGCTCATTAGCTGAAACTTAACCAGCAAAACGATTTGCTAATGGTTTACAAGATATTTCAAACTAAAAAACACTCAAGTGCTGTATGCAGACTAAACCTTAGGGGAGTGTTAGAGATTACACAATCAAGTCAATTTCAAATGGTCATTGTTTAGGAGATCTTTGGAGAGTACTAGTTTTTATTAAGGCATAATCCTTTATAGTCCTTGCAAAGAATTAACCTTCACTGAAGGGTTGTTACCAAATCACACTCATAAGGAGGGGCTTAAACTTCTGGGAGCTGAAACCCAGCAGCAGGTGGTTAACAGTTAATGGCCTGCCTGGCTAAAAAAAAAAACTGGAACTGATGTGCAACTGATGACTAGTAATGAGGGTGGAGTCACAAAGCTGATAAGAGCTCCAGGAGCAGAGCACAACAGAGAGAACAGAGGAGGCTGTGGTGCTGAAGCAGACTCAGACCCTAGTTTGACAGGCAAAGTCTGAAAACAGACCTTGCCTGGCCTTGATAAGGAACCCCGGTGAGTGATCTGCTCACTATGCTAATTAATACTCAATTACACAATTCTAAAGATTGCTAAAATTAAAAAATAAACAGTCTACACTATAGAATAAGCACTCAAAAAAAGAGATCTTTCAGAGGTTGTCAAACCATGCACAGCTTTAAAGTACTTTTTTTGAAAACTAAAGTCACATATCAAACTTTCATTTCAGTGGGGATGGCTATGTCAAATTACCTTTTTCCTGTGAATTCTACTTGTCCCTTCTTATTGAATATGAACTTGGAGTCATTATATCCCCATCCATTCCACTTCAGAAGTTCTTGCCTTAAAGAGAAAAAGATTTAAATGAAACAAGTCAGTAGACCAAATTAAAGATGACTGTAGATTTTGCAAAAGTTTAAAATGAACTTTCACTTATAATTAAAAAAAATTAAATACATCACAAAATGAATTAATCAAAAAGCTTCCTACCTTTACAATATGTAAACTTGTATAATATATGATACTGTATACTAATACTGTTCACTTCTATAGCATGTATGAGAACTGAGTATGCAGAAACTAGTTTTATAAGCAAAACCAGCTGTAACCATAATGTGTATTATAAAGTTTTCAAGCAAGGAAAAAAAAATAAAGATTATAATGATGGTATGACAGCCTTGTGGTACTAGAATCCCAAAGGTGATACAGCAACAGGGTATTCTAAATAAAAAAGTATAAACGTAGGCATAGCCAATGCATTGGGGTGGGGGGTGGAATGGGACACATGCCACCCCTGACAGGGCCACTGCCAATGGCATCTGTGGGTGCCCCCCAGACTCAGGAGGCACCAGTCACCATTAATATTCGGAGTGTCAAGCTTACCCCATACCACAAACCAGATGCATCAATGCCATCCTTGATTGCCCGTTACTGATGGCTACAGGGCCCTTAATTCTTTTTTGGGGGCAAGGACTACTGCAAATATCCTGGTGTACTAGGGGCCCCACAGGTCAGAGGGAAAAGCTCCATGCACTGCATGGATCTGGTCTGCAGGCCCCATACTTGACACCGCTGGTTTAATACAATTAGTTTGCTTAATTCATGAACACGTATAGTAAAAAAACCTGAACTTTGCTTTTAGAAGCACCAAAAATGACAAGAATGAAATGCTAATTTTAACCTTCTAATGTTAAGATCTAGTGTAGAATCTAATATAGGAGCAAAGAACTAACATACCACGCCCATAACTGTGGAATACTCTTTAGAACAGTTCCTTTTGACATGAACTTTTTCCAAGCCTTAATGTCTGAATATTTTTCCTTCTTAGTGATATTATTGCATTTTTGCTCTTAGTCTATTTTCTCTCTCTCATTCACCCAAAACCCCCAGGAGTTCCATTATTTCACTTGCATCCATAACTAAACATACTAATTGAGATACCTTAAGAATTCTACTTAATCAGATGACATACCTTCAACTTAGTTATGAACCTTAAGTTCTTTATTTTAACTTTTAAGGCTAGCTATTTTGCCTCACAGAAGCAGCATAGATAGTCAACTGCTGAACCAGGCCATTGGTCTGTGAACTTGCAGCCACAAAGCTTTAAGAGAATTAACAGCTGCAGTCAGTCCAGAAAGATTTAACAACTAAAGAAGAATGGAGACAAGCATCCAATCTCTAAAATACTACTCATTCATAAACTGTGGCATGCAAAACCAACTTCAAAAGGATGTTGACTGGTTATGCCTGGGCCTTCCTATAACAGCAGTAAGAATAACCTCACTTACTATGGCAATAGTCTTAGTTTTAGATACACCTGGCTTACTTGCAATATATTTTCTTCAAAACACAATACCTGTAAGATTTTGAGTTTCCTCGTAAAGAACTCCTCCCACTTCAATAGGGCATGCTTTTAAAAAGCAGCAGTGAATTAGTTCGACCTGGCTCCGCAGCATCCGGATAGACTGGATGCTTCAGCAGGGCTTTTTGGCACTTTTGTCCAAAAGCTAATTCAATCAGATATTAGATAAAAATGCCAAAAAGCTCCGCTGAAGCGCACAATCTATACAGACACTGGGTGAGCCAGGTCCAACTAACACGATGGCTCTTCTGGGATGTGGTGGACTGGGTGTGGGGGCATGCAGAGTTTAAAATAAAGCACCATTTTTTTCTTGTTTTACATCTATAAGCAGCTATAGCTCCTAACTGCAAAAAAAATCAGGCCTGGGACAAGGATTCATAAAAAACTTACCTATAACCAGAATGCCTCTATAGTTAGTTGGCACATGGCTCCTGGCTATGGCCCCAGAATTAACTGGCTGTGTGCATTAGTCAGTCTTTTGTAACCCAAACAGCACTGTGCAGGCTTGGCCTGGCAGATGGCTTATCACTCTAAAAGGTACTTTTATGATCATCCCAGCAAAAAGCAACCTTGTCATGGAACTGAACAAATGCCAGTTGGTGAGACGAGGCTCTCTAAGGCATTTGTATAGCCTTAAAAACTGCTAGTTTAAAGACTCTGAATCCTAAGATTGAGCCCTCTTGACTCCTGCAAAATGTACATAAAACTTAACAACTTGTAAGTTTGCTGCACAAGGTCAGATAAAGGTCCAGGTGTCTCTGGCAAGCTCAGATTTCCAAGTCTCATTCAACAAGCCACACTATCTTCTGAAGGGCCAAGCCATGTGACAGTCGCATGAGAGAAAAAAAACAGTGTTTGTTTAGTGTTTAAGGAAAGGTTCAGCACCATGGAATGAGACAGGAGCACTGGAAGAGACATGTACAATTGGAGAAGGGCCAATATAGTGCCCGTCCATCTTTAAGAAAGGGAAGGAGGAGGATCCAGGGAACTACAAACTAGTCAGCCTCACTTTAGTCCCTGTAAAAATTATGCAGCGGCTCCTAAAGGAATCCATTTCTAAGCACCTGGAGAAGAAAAAGGTGATTAGGAACAGTCAGCATGGATTCACCAAGGGCAAGTTATGCCTAACCAACCTGATTTCCTTCTTTGACAAAATGACAGGCATTGTGGCCTCAGGGAGAGAAATGGCTGCGATATACCTTAACTTTAGCAAGGCTTGATATGGTTTCCACAGCACTCTTGCAAGGAAGATAAGGAAGTATGGGTTGGATGAATGGACTGTAAGGTACATAAAAGGCTGCCTGGATCATCAGGCTCAACAGGTAGTGATCAATGGCTAGATTTCTAGCTGGTAGCCAGTATCAAGTGGAGCGCCCCAGGGGTCAGTCCTGGGGCCAGTTTTGTTCAATTTCTTCATTAACAATCTGGAAGATGAGATGAATTGCACCCTCAGAAAGTTTGCAGATGACACTAAGCTGGACGGAGTAGTAGATATGCTGGAGGCATACCTACACTATCTGGAAGGTAGGGCTAGGATTCAGTGACCTGGACAAATTGAAGGATTGAGCCAAAAGAAATCTCATGAGGTTCAACAAGGACAAGTGCAAAGTCCTACATTTAGGATGGAACAACCTCATGCACTGCTACAGGCTTGGGACCAAGTGGCTAAGCAGCAGTTCTTCAGAAAAGGACATGGGGATTAGTGGACAGTAGGCTGGATATAGGCCAGCAGTGTGCTCTTGTTGCCAAGAAAGCTAACAGTATACTGGGCTGCATTAGTAGGAGTACTACTAGCAGACCGAGGGAAGTGATTATTCCTCAAGCACTGGTGAGGCCACATCTGGAGTACTATGTCCAGTTTTGGGTCCCACACTACAGAAAGATGTGGAGAAGTTGGAGAGAGTCCAGTGGAGCAGTAACAATAATGGTGAGGGGCTGGGGCAGATGACTTTGAGAGGCTGAGGTAACTGGGTTTATTTAATCTGAAGAAAAGAAGATTTAAGGGGGAATTTGATAGCAGCCTTCAACTACCTGAAGGGGGATTTCAAAGACAGTGGCACTAGACTGTTCTCAGGTCAGATGACAGAAGAAGTACCAGTGGTCTCAAGTTGCAGAGTTGCAGCAAGGGAAGTTTATGTTTGATATTAGGAAAAACTCTCTCAGTGGATGTGGCGGGGGAGCACTAGAACAGGTTACCTAGAGACAGGGTGGAATCTCCATCCTTGGAGGTTTTAAGGTCCAGCTCAACAAAGCCCTGGCTAGTATGATCTAGTTGGGTTTGGTCCTGCTTTGAGTAGGGGGTTGGACAACGTGACTTCCTGATGTCCCTTCCAACCCTAATTTTTTATGATTCTATGTAGATGGCTGGGTTCTTTACTAGGTTCTACTATAGGTTTGTATCACACAGGGCTAATTGCTAAAAACAGATTTAAGACAGACATCCCCCTGAGGTCTGCATACTGAACTCCACAGAGTCTTAAGGCAGACTGTTTTGTATTTAAAGAGAAGCTAGGGTACGGTTGTACTGTAGACTAATTCACAAATATGTAAGCTTTATTAAGCAACAGCTCACTTTATCATATGTTATGAAAGGACTTCCAGGCAGCAGGGAACAGTGAACAGGCCTAGGACTCAGACTTGAAGCTTACTGCTGACTGTTTGACCAAGTTGCTTATTAAAGTTGTAATTTATACAACTTCTAGAACAGCTTGAGTATTTTGGTCTACCATCTTACACAAAAAATTTAGATTATTTTGGTGACTTGGTATAGAGAAATGGGGGTGTGGGGAAATAGTGATGAGGATTAGACAGGGAATGGGGTGTCTAGAAAAGTAGCAGATGAGGGCCACTGGCATGCTTACTGCAATTCATTTAGATTGCAACTGAACCTTTGGATAGCAGCAGCAAGTGGGAGGTGTCCCCTACACTGATAATTCCCTGTTATCTCTGTTAATGGACTTGCAGACGATACGTATTACTAAACAAGAGGAACTGAGGACAGAAAGTTCTGTATGCTATAGGTCAGGGATAGGCAGCACCTGGCACGTGCCAATTAATGGCACGTGGAGACATTTTCCTCAGCACACCAGGAGGTTTGCAAGGAAATTGTTTTAAATTTTTTTTTTAAGTTCCTCCTCTGGACCAGAGCAGCCACAGGTCCCAGTGCCGCAGCAGGCACCAGGAGCAGAGTCAAGACAACATAGGCAGCACCACTGTCTGTGTTCTGCTGATCCCTCCCCCCTGTACCCAGCCTGTGCCCTCCAGCCCGGCCCAATCCCCAGAGAGAGGCTGTGGGTGGGAGAGGCTGGGGCCCAGGCAGGCACTGCAGAGGGCTCCCAGCTGGCTTGGCCCCAGTCGCTGCCCATGGCAGCTGCTACCAGGGAACAGAGGGCTCCTGCAGCTGGGCCCCCGCATAAAGGAGCTGGAAGCACCCCCTCAAGCCCAGCAGCCTGCCTCAACCAGGCAGTGCCCCTTGCAGGCAGGGCAGCTGTGGCCCAA